TATAACATTCTCATCCCCTCAGTAGAACCCTATTTCAAACATTAGTGATATCAGAAAGATATCATTCATTATACAATGCCCCTCTTCTGGCTGTATTTACTGCACCCTTGAGAAGCAAGCTAATCATTTAGTTTATAACGTGTTCTTTTTGAGGATACCATGAGCCCCCAGTTTGCACTACATGGTCTTATCAACATAATTAATATAGGAATTATGCGTTAGAAGCAATTAAACTCAGAATCCACTGGAGGCCGTTATCTGGCAGGCAGTGCAGTGCTTTAGTGTGAGAAACTGTTGAAGTGAGAGGATGAATAAGCTAAAAGCTTTTGAAAAAGTGACGCACTCAAGTTGCCTTTGAAATGAATTCAGAGCATTTGTGGCCTAATGCTGATTTAAATGGACGAGATGCAAACAGTATAGAGGATATTTTATCCCTGCAGACCTTGCCAGTAAATTGCCTAACACAAGTTGCTTCTCCCTTGGAATTCTCTTTCCTGATCATACACATCACATGACTGCTGCATGCACATCACAATGCTGATTTATTCAGGACTCACATGCACATACACTTACAGTGTGGCAAACAGAATCCTTATTTTGATGCTTCCTAGAAATAACAAAATACTCTTATGAAAGCACAGGGAGAAAGGCACAGATTGCATCTTGAATTTGTACTTTTATATAAACTGTCTACAAGGAAATAAAAGAGAAAACTTAACTCTTGCAGTGGGGCACTGCAAGGGTTAACTGATCATGTTGTCTTGGGAGCTAAAATAACATATATACAGTATATATACATATTAGGGATGCACCGATATATCGGCCGCCGAAAAATATCGGCCGAAAATGGCACTTTTGGCTAAATGACGACGGCTGGAGGGGGAGGGGGAGCGAGGGCGAGGGGGGCAGCCGGGATCACGGTTCAATTGAGTATATCTCTGTTATTTTAGATCCCTAGGCAAAATGAGCACTTAACCCTCACAGTGTGGGGGTAGAGCCACTGCAAGGGTTAAGTTTTTATTTGCCTGGAGTTCCTCTTCTAAGGCTAGGTTCACACCATGTCCGAACCAGATCTGCAATTGCAGTGAAGTGCATTTTTTACGCGAGTTCACTGCAATTTTTGCAGCAGTTTTTTTGTGTGTGCTTAAAATGGGCTTTCAGGTGCAGTCCAGTGCGTTTGTATGCGTTCCAGTGCATTCCAGACCAAAGAAAATGAGACCAGCAGTATTTTTTTTTCTGGGCCTGAACGGACTGTGCTGGTGTGAACAGAGCCCAGAAATACCATAGGGATACATTGGAATGCTTTTTTGGTAAGAGAACAAACTGTTCTGGTCCGGACATGGTGTGAACAAGCCCTAAGTAAACATTGGACTAATATTTTTCTTTCAGTATTCAATGTTTTATTGAGAGTTTTACAACAAAGTAATACATGGGAAAAATAGATATATACAACATAAATTGAATATGTTCACAAATCTTGTAGAATCACTTTGAAAATTTGCACACATTTCACTGGGAAGGTGGGGGTGGAGTATAAGAGAGATGGGTGTGTTTGCTGGTCTCTGGTGTAACGAATGTATGGGTCGCCCTGAGTCAGTTTTATAAATAGAGGGTAGGAAGCAGAATTGGGGAGAAGGAAAAAAAGGTGGGGTGGGGACCCTCTGGGGCCTTCAAGGTTCCCCCGTGGGGAGTTAGGATGATATATCACCTACTCCTTCTGTCCAATCCCCAATTCCAGACCACACTCTAAGATACTGTATATTCTACTCATTTTGTCAATCCCCAATCCCAGACCACACGCTAAGTGATTTCCACTCTTTGTTGGAAATCAAAGATCGACTTCATAATCAGATTTTTATTTGCAGGATTGTAAATGACCTTCATGTCAAGGAGAAGTTCAGCCATTACATGACTATATAAATCTCTCACATTAATGTTTGACTCCTGGTTCCACCACGTCTCTGGATAAAGGCTACTGCCATTTTGTTGTTCATGTGTAGTAATACTGTTGATTCCCAGAATAGAGGAGCAAATGTCAGGAGCACCTTGTATGACGCCATCAATTTTGGATGTTTGACATGAGACCCTCAGCTTCAAAGTGGCAGCGGGCCTTTACTGGGTAATCTTAAAAAAGGCCCCCCAACTCTCTTGATTGGTGTTGGATGTAATTGTGTTCCAGTTGTAGATTGTGATTAGAATGTAGTTTCACAGATTGTGTTGTTGAGTCCTTCTCCTCGTTGGTGATACGAATGGGCTGCAAAAGATTCTCTCCATTGGCTTGGAAAGGAATTTTGAAGGGGGCGTGAAAGGTTTTAGTTCACCAATCATATGGTAAGGACAGAAAAGAAATCAGTGGTGTCTGAACATCTCAAAAAGCATAGCCGGTCCTATTGTATGCTGCCAACATGTGCCAGGGAAAAAAAACTGGTGGGATTAACCCTTTTCGCTGCCTAAGCAATTGTTTATTTTATTTACACGTAAGAATCTACATTTTAGGCTATAAAATTGCTTAACCCGCCCCCAACCACATCATATATTTTCTAAAAGCAGAGTAAGTCCCTGTAGAATAAAGAGATGGTAGTTGCAAATTGTTTTATGTCGCACTACATTTGCGCACAGGCTGTGCTTGATTTGCTCTTTACCCAGCTTTGCAGCCCAGGACTTTGACAGCTCAAAACCAGTAGTACTCAGAGCTGCGTGCTTCCAGGTTCACTCTTTGCAGAGGACATCAGGGAATGCATAGATGTTGTACCTGACTTGTTCCTGACCCTGCTGATTCTCTGACATCCTGACTCCAGTTCGTTTGACGATTCTTCTGCCTCCTGTCTGGTCCTGCGTTATCTGCATGTTGCTGACCCTGGCTTGCCCTTCGACTACGACTTTGTCTCCTGATTCGGTACCTTCTTGACTGCACGCTGCTGACCCGGTTTGCCTGACTTTGGTTCTTCTCCACATGCCTCTCTGCTGTGCGTTTGTATACCGTTGCCCAGCGGAGCAGCTTCAGGACTTCTGTCCAGCATCTACATCATCTTCCGGCACTCGTGCCCTGCTGTGCCCCAGGCTACCTGTATCCAAAACCAGGCTTCTTGGGACCAGAGTTGCAAGAGAGGCCGCCCTCGTCATCTCAAGCTCCATCGGGTACGTGACACACTGGAGAGATTTCCCTTCAATTCATGTGACAGCCACAAAAAGTGAGAGGAAATCCATCCAAAGGAAGGGAAATCACTGGTGGTCAGCTGGGTCACAGAACTAGTATCCTCAATGGAAGATTTCTCATCTATTCCAATTGTTGGCGACAAACCAAAATTTGGGATTTCCTTTTACTTTCAATGATAATAGTCACCAGGATAAATATGGAGGGTAAATCTCCCTAATGGAGACACAGACAGCAATAAAAACCTGACAGGTGTTCTAATTCAGACCTGGGCATTTTATGGCCTGCAGGCTGTATCCAACCCTTTGTCTCTATATGTCCAACCTGCGGTCCAAACAAGGACTGACCCCCGACCTGCACTTGGCTGACCAAGGCATCCAAGGCCTGTGCATCCACTGCAAGTCATAGCACAAGTTGGCGTTGGCTCTGTGTCCGAACTGCGTTCCCCTGAAGTTGTTGGTTGCTAGCACAGCGGGCGTCCTAGCAACCAGTGATGCCAGGGGTCCTCCTCCTCTGCAGTCATTGGTTGCTTATAAGAGGCACCGAGGAGCTCAGCTATGAGGAAAGATTAGCTGACTGAATTTGTTCTCTCTGGAGAAGAGACGATTAAGGGGGGACATGATCACCATGTATAAATACATAAATGGTTCATATAGTGAGCTTGGTGCCAAATGATTCACTTTAAGGTCACTGCAAAGGACAAGGGGGCACTCTTTGCATCTGGAGGAAAAGAGGTTTAACCTTTGCTTACGGAAAGCATTCTTCACAGTTAGAGCTGTGAACATGAGGAATAGACTCCCCCAGGAGCTTGTTCTAGCTAGCTCACTTAACTGTTTAAAAAAAATCTGGATGTATTCCTAAATGCACAGAATATGACTGGATATTGAGTTCTTGTAGGTATAATAAGCACCAGAGCAAATTGAACCATGCTTTATAGATTTTTTTTTGCCTTCCCCTGGATCAACAGGGGGTAATTGTGGGCAGAGCGTTCTGTTTAGGCTTTTTTTTTTCTCCTCTTATCTCTATAGGTTGAACTCGATGGACATGTGTCTTTTTTCAACCTGACTAACTATGTAACTGCTGGGCAGTCCTGGCAACCAGTGACAATGTTTTCCCGCACCCGTCCTCTTTTGCAGCTCTAGGTATGTGCCACGTGTGGGGACAATGAGGCTTCATTCAGGGCCTTGCACACCTATGCTGTGCGTTAATCATACTGCACAATGCACCAAACGTGTGTTACAGGTCGGCAGGTGCTCTGTAGAGCATGTACTATTTTTTTCAAACACAACTGTACTTTGTGGTGCAGTCAAGCGCATCGCGGCCAGGAGGTGTGTCATTTCAAATGAATGGCAACGCAACACACCTGCCGCCTTGTAACGCACGGTGTGTGGTGTGGTACGTGCATTGCGTTCTATATTGTGGAGGGCCCTATTGGTTTGGCCTACCAGAACAGTCCGAGTTTTTCATGTGGCCCCTAGAGAAAATGAATTGCCCACTCCTGTTCGAATTCCTCTCCGCTCTACCCAAAACTAAAAAAAACTTTTGGCTTTAGATGTCGAATTTTTGCAGCCTGTATCTTTGCCTATTTTACCTTTATTACAAGTAGCCATAATTCTCCAATAGGATAAAACAGCTCTTCCTCACTCCACTGACAGCAACCAGCCGCTCCAAAAAACACCCAAAAGAATCAGCTAGTTCCGTGCCGCGTTTACGTATTCCAATCGCAAGATGGCGGTCTGCCCTCCTGGCTCGCTGTGCAATGTGTAGAGTGGCCGCTAGGTGGCAGTGAGAAGACGCGGTGGGCGTGGCGGCGATGACACTATCACATCGCGCTGCAGAGTAGAGCGGTGTCTGTGCTGGGGTTGGAGCCAGCTGCTCGTGTACCCTCCGGTGTGACGGCTCCGAGGATCCCGGCTCATAGCACGGTAAGACAACGCCGGCATGGCTGTCAGGAGCCACGACTTGATCGTGGAAACTGAGCTGTAAAGTGTGATTGGGAAATATCCATCTCCTGTTTATCAGACCCCTAATGCCATCACATGGCAGTATATACATCCTGTATCCTTCATCTGGTTGTCACATCTCTGTGCTGTCACAGCTCGAGTCTGCTCTCTCTTCATTTCCCTGATTTTACATCGGTGACATCACATGCTTTGGGTACCGTGCACTGGCCCAGGAACTGGGTCACATTACACTGTTCTTCTGATCTGGATCCTTATCACATGACTATTATTATTACTAATGTCTGACTCTAAGTTGATGGTAGTATTGATTTGTGACAGGTAACCGGTTTCTATTCGGGATTCTAGCAGTAGGTTTCCCATTCTCACACACAGGGTAATTTCTGAAAATGTGATTGCAGGCTGCCTGATTAGTAAGTGCTTATTAAATAATTTATACCGCCTGCCTCGGATGTTCGGCTGTCAGACTTCATCACCTATTGGACTGTAGATGGGACTGATTACATCAAGTGGTAGGCAACACCAGCTGTGTTGAAACTACAAATCCCAGCATGTCTCTGGAAGTCATGACTATAGCCGTCAGTCTTACAATGCCTTATGGGACTTGTAGTTCCACAACAGCTGGAGCGGTGCGGTTGTCCACCCCTTGGTTAGATATTCATATTGAGTTATCTCCTGTTGTAGTGATGGTACTATAAGGATAATAAGATGTATTATTATCCTTGTATACGGGCCAGTTTTTATTGTATTAAAGCTGAATTCCGGGCACAAAATCTTTTATTTAATCACTTGAAGACCGGGGTTTTAACCCCCCTTCCTGTCCAGGCCATTTTTCAGTATTCAGAGCTGCAGCACTTTAAGGTCCGGTACAGACCTGAGCAATCCGGGATGCGCGTCCTGGGATCACGTGGCAAACAGCGATTGCCGCGTGGTCCCATTGATTTAACTGATGTACTGAAATTAAATTGTTTTGGTGGTATTTAATCACCACTGGGGTTTTTATTTTTTACTATATAAAGAAAAAAATACCCAGAGTTTCCCCTACCTACTGTTATGAAACATTTTTTATTACCCAATATTTTGGTAAAAATATAAAATACGGGGTCATGTCGGGTAAATATAAGAAATTATGGACACTGGCACTCCAAAGTAGAATAATGTCTATTTATTGACGTTCATGCAACAATACACTTATTGCAACGTTTCGGGGTCACACAGGATCCCCTTCATCAGGCGGAAGGGGACTGTAACTGATGTTGGGTAAATAGACACCAAACATGTCAAGCCTTAAAATTGCGTGCGCCCGAGAAATCATAATAATCTACCATACCCAAAATTGGCCATAGGTGACACTTTAAAAGCTTTTACTGCTCATCAGTTTAGTGTTAAAAGTGACTGATGGCCCCAAAATTATTGCTCCGACGTTCATAATGATATGTAACGTGTGGTGTAACAGTGGTTTTTGCACGTAGGTGCTTGTTTACGTTTGTATGTGTGTGGGGGCGGGGGATACCATTTTTTTAAAGTTAACATAAGTGAGCGGACAAAACACACTTCTTTTCTTATGGCCAGGGCTTGAACAATTTTAGGGTATCTCACCAGTCAGTCAAAAATTTCACCAGTCAGCATGACCGGACTATTGCCTTGCTTTGCCGCGCTGCTGACAGGAAACGCAATATGCGCAGCGGGCCTCCCTGCTACGCTAGTAATAAACGTAGCTTGTCAGAAGCTGGACACAGCGCACACTGGTTACTATTTAACCACTTAAAGACCGGGGCGTTAAACCCCCTTCCTGGCCAGGCAATTTTTCAGTATTCAGCGCTGCGGTACTTTGACATTTATTCCGTCATGCAACGCTGTACTGAAATGAATTTTATACCATTGTTTGGGGACAGATAGAGCTTTCTTTTGGTGGTACTTAATCACCACTGAGGGTTTTAATTTTTTACTATATAATGAACCGTAAATTTTGAAAAAAAAAAAACAGTTTTTCCCATATGTTATGTTATAGAAACATTTATTCTTACCCATATTTTTGGTAAAATATAAAAGACGGGGTCACGTCGGGTAAATAGACACCAAACTTTCAAATTGCGTGCGCCCACAAATACCGCAAGAAAAACATACCCAAAATTGGCCATAGGCGACGCTTTAAAAGATTCTACTGCTCATCAGTTAGTGTTATCAGTGATTAATGGCCCGAGAATGATTACCCTCACTCCGACGTTCGCGGCGATATGTAACATGTGTGGCACAATCGCCATTTTCACACGTAGGCGCACCCGACGCATGTTTGTATGTGTGGGGCAGGGGACTTTAAAAACATTTTTTGTGGGGGTTTTTTTTTTTGATAACTCATGGTTTTCACTTAACTTTATTGCTATCACCTAGGGTGCTAAGAAGCCCCCTATGTGATAGCCAATTTACACAGACGGGTCCCCCTTATGGAGACATCAGGGATCTCTAGGACCTCTAATGTCACCTAGGGACCCCCAAAGAAGCTGTTGAAGCAGAGATCTGTACTCGCCCAAATGCTCCGATGCCTAGCCTGATACTTCCCGTATCAGGAAGCTAGCCAATCAGGATGCCGGGCGTTGTGTAGTGACGCGGTGCCCAGTTTTCTGATTGGCCGGGAAGCTGTCCTCATGCTCCCTCGTCACCTCACGACAAAGGAGCATGGAGCTGGCTGTCCGGCCAATCAGGAAGTCGGGCGCTGCATCATTACATGGCGCTTGACTTTCTGATTCGACAGAAAGTTGGCTCCATGCCTTCTCGTCACCTAGTGATGAGAAGCATGGGGGCGGCTTACCTGCTAATCGGGAAGCCAAGTGGTGAGTCATTACACGCCGCCTGGCTTCCTTAATGGGACTTTCAGTATCGGCGAGTACTGAAAAAAAAATATCGGTACTCTATAACGAAATACCAGTATCAGTGCATCCCTAGTTACCATACACGTTACAATCTGACAAAACAACAGTCCTTTCAGTTTGTATCCTATCAGGCAGGCTCTTGTGCTACATAATTGCTGAAGGCGATTGTGCAGTCAGATTGTATAGTGTACGGTCAATTGTGATTACATTGTGGGAAGTCATAGTTTGTACAGGTCAGTACTGTGACAGTCTCAGCCTGTCCGCTGGTCAATGTAAGTGACTATGTGGTTTTTTCTGTCCGTGGAATGTGCACACTTTCCCTCCTCTACTCCCGATCTTCTTCCTTGTTTCTTCGCTGACCAATTTAACTGGATTGTCATTTTGAAGTAATCTAGAGGAACAGCAGCACCCGCACGTTTCTTCTGATGGGTATCTAATACTCAGCCTTTTACATATTTGTCTCTGTGATTGCTCTTCTTTCCTTTCTGTGGACTAAAGGACTAGTATATCTTGTCACTTTATATGCTAATGTACATATATCCTGGCAAAGAGCTGAGCATACACCCATCAGGCTGACTAGTGCTCCACATTACAGAGTCATTTTTGAAATATCGGTGAATAGACGGAAATCAGTGTCCAATATTACTTCTCCCTGCCATAGGAGAAATAAATCTGGAGGCTGCCCTTTGTTATTACATTTGGATGTCTTTCACTTTTTTTCTTTTTTTTTCATTCCTGAAAGATCATAAGAGCCTGCTGCATACTTCTCCTAGATCTATCACTAAAGTATATTTGCCAGGGTCAGCCAGGAAACTAGCATTTTTAGGAGGACATGATTAGGGATGCACAGATACCGTTAATTTGGTATCGAGTACTAATATATAT